TCTGATTGTTGGCACGAACCGAGGGCAGATCTTTGGACGCCTGGCCCTGCCCCTGCTTCCTGGAGCTGCCGGCAATGTTTGAGGAGGAGGAGGTCTTCCCGAGCTGCCCCGAGCTGCGCGACTTGGAGACGCTGTTTGAGGTGGAGGCGGCGGCAGCGGCATTGCCTCGCATATTCGAAGAGCTGTTGCTGTTGCCGCCAGCCTTGCGGGCAGTGTGCGGCGCCGTCTGCGGCGGCCGATTCTGATGACGCCCGTTTGGCTGCTGATTCTGATGATGTTGGTGACCATGACCCTGCTGCTGCTGGAGAACACTGGGATGGTGCTGCACCACCACCGGCTCCGGCCACACGTCAGGGTCGCGGTAGTCGTAGCCAGAGGATGAGCTCGAGCCGCCAAACGGCTGCACACCTCCTCCTGAAGGAAACAGTCCACCGCCGCCGCCATTGGCTTCCAGAGCAGCCAGGGCAGCGGCGGCATTCGGCCCCACCGGCCTCGAGTTGTGAGGATCACCACCATTGCCACTCTTAAAGTTGAGCAGCGTCGACTGCAGGTCCTTCACAATCTCGTACTCGTCGACGATCAGCTGCTGAGACTGAATGGGACACAAAAGAGAGAGAGAGAGAGAGAAAGTTTTGTTGTTAGGTGGTGTTCTACTTCTATTTCGAAATAAACAAACAGCCATGCTTACCTCCTGCCACTTCTCCCGCAGCTGTGGATCGGTGATCGCCTGCAGGTGGCGGTGAATCTGCTGCACCACCCCCTGGTAGTAGATGAGCGCCGTCTCGTAGTTGCCCAGCATCGAGCAGTCGCGGGCGATCTTCACATTCTCCGCAATCTCCCCCGGAGCCGAGGAGTTCATCGTTGTGGTGGGGAGAAGACTTGAGAGATTCCAAAGCTAATAAATCACACACAATCAAGCACACATTTTGCTCGTCGGCGGCACTGGAGAAAGAGGCAAGGCAGGTGGTGGTGATGGTGGTGGTGGTGGTGGTGGTGATGAAGCTGAAGCTGATGATGCTGATGCACAAGTTGTAGTAGGCGTACAAGTAGAAAACGCGTGTTTAGTGGTGGCAGGTAAATAGGTAAATAAGAGTGAAGAGAAATTGCCAATGCGTTATACAATATTATGTGCAGGTGTGTGTGTGTGTGAGTGAGTGAGTGCTGCTGAGAGAGCTCTGATGCAACGACGGTGGTGGTGGTGGCGTCGGTGGTGGTGGTGGTGTAGAGGCAGTGAAGGCAGCCGTGGTAGGACAGAGCAGACTGTTCTGCTGCCTTTTTATGGACAAGTGCAGCGGCGGCGGCGACCAGTCGAGTTAATGACCTGCTTTCGGTGAGAGACTGTCAGTGACTGTGCGAGTGTGTGTAGGGCGCTGGTGGCAGCCGCTGGGCAGTAGTAGCAGAAAGAGCAGCAGCAGCTTGTCCTGTTTGGTCACTTTGAAATCGGCGGCGGCGGTGGTGGTGGTGGTGGTGGTCACCATGACTACACACCACGACAACAAGGGCAGCAACAGTGGCCCAAATACTGACAATGAGAAGAGCGGCTTCGGTAGTAGACGACGTATGTTGATGATGATGATGATAGCGATAAGGA